CGACAGGTTGCACTAGTTTATGAATCACCCCAGGCTGAGGGATCTCAGACGAGGAGGTTTCGGATGCTGCTTGAAGTACAACTCCTTGGCTAGGCAGGGCTGTAGAAAAAAGTGGGGAGCACCAGAAGAAACACCACGCTGGAAATAAGGGTTGCAAGGACCTCGGGCATGGCTTTTGTTTCACTACTTGCTCCTCCAGAGGCTTAACCAGTTTCGCAGGCGCATGGGCTGTCAACACCCGCATGTACAAGTCAGTTAATGCATGATAGCTACCACGTGCTAGCATGACACCCCTTAATCCAGACCAGGTGAGGTCCCAGCCTGACTAAAGTCCAGCAGAAGACAGCTGCACAAGGAAGAGAAACTCCTTTAAAGGTATGGGAAGAGGAAAGCAAAGGTCATATAACCACCTGAAGAGCTTGAACGGTCAGGCTGGGAGGGAAGTGCTTAGACATAAGGAGAAACACTCGAATGCCAAGGCAAAATACACACTTTTCTTCCTGCAACTCACCTCCAACCAAAAAGAAAGCCCCTGAGTTAAGCTCATCAATTGAAAGGGTAGGCTGCCAGTGACCTGAGAGCAGCACCACTGTTTCACTGCTTCCAGCTGCAGAACAGTTTGATATCAAAGTGAGATGACCTCTCATCTTATTGCACAGCTTTAAAAAAAAAATTACTTAATTAGGCAGCGCAGCCAAGGCAGCTCAACTTAACGTGCTTGCTACTGTGCAGGTGTCTGAAAGAGGTATACAGAGAGAAGGGAACTTGCAACAAAGCTGAAGTGCGTCTGGACATGTGCCTCTGTGCCCTGGGACAGGCAGGAAGGAAAACAGCAGCTGTGGAACAGAGGGTGATATAAAGGCACCAGCTTCCGCAAGCCAGGACTGCACAGCGTGGAGGATGAGTAAGCATGAGAAACGCAGAGATGAACGAGAAGCTGTCCACCAACTTCACATTTTAGACTTATTTTCTGCAAGCTACAGACCAAAAGACAGTGGACCCTCTTGAAACAAGCACAAAACTGATCCTTTATGCTGTGAAATGGGGACTTAATTCAGCCACTGAACCACCTGAAGCCACATTACCCGGCTGTCCCTCCAGGGAGGGGGTAAGTGCACTCTCCTCTCTGCTCCAAAGGCGCCATGTGCCTTTTCTGTTGGAGGGTTCTGTTGTTAGAAACTCCAGTTAAAACTACAGCAATTCTTCTGAACTTCTTTCCTGCTTCAGAGCTACAGAAAAGCCTGAGCACCTGAAGGCTCTCTTACTTCTTCAGCTTCATCTAATAAGGATGTTCAGCCACAAACTTCGTGCTCACAAGTCAATTATTCGACTGACCTGCAGAATGCCAAAAAGCAGATCCCCATTTGTTGCCCTTCCTACCATCGCCTCCATTTTTTTAGGAATGCACGGTGTCATTTTTCATTACTTCAAATTCCCCAGTGCAGAGTAATTTCATGTTTGGCCCAAACTGCACTGACACGAAGATTAAAACTGTTTCCAAACGCAGGGTTTAATACAAACATGCAGTTGCTGTTGCACTGTGCCAGCTGACAGAGCTGCCAAAAGGTTTTGATACAACAGTTTGTGCAAGGAAGGATATTCTTCCATTTCTTTCTGTTCCCACAGGTTAAAGGAACAAAACAAAAGGAGATGCCTCTCGAGATGATACCAAGGCAAGAGAAGTCAAATGAGAATCACCTGGAACATAAGATTGTTGTCTAAATATGACAGTAACTGCCCCAAATATCACCAGTCCTGCAGTCAGCCACCAGCGTGGGACCTCAGAGCACTGCCGCTGCCCGGAAAACGCGTTAAGATTTCTCTCAATGGATTTTATTGTTGATATCCCTAAAAAGCATGGAAGCTTCCAGCCCTGTCTAAAGCTTGCACCAAAATTCTGGAGGCAGCCACCACTTATAGCAGGTTACTGAGTAAACAAAGGCAGTTGATCATCTCTTGTTAACCAGTCAGAATAAATCACAGAAAGAAGAGCCAGAGATATTTTTAATGGGACCAAACCAGCTTATTTTATACCAAGCTTATTGAACATCACGAACAAAGTCTCCTCAAAAGGCAAAGATCCCCAGGATTCACAGAGTACAAAGCACTATACTGGGATCTGCAACGAGGAAAGACAACCCTGGTGCTCTGCCCAAGAGATATTCATCAGCATGACAAGGCTGGGCGGGTGAAGATGCTCCTAGTCTCTCAGCGAGATGTCCAGTGCATGTGGAAGGGACATCAGTGCCTGCCGGATCGGCAAACTGACCCCTCCCAGCCCTGCGCAGCACATGGATCCAAACCCTGGCAGGCAATCTTGTTTCAACAGATTTACTAGACCAGGGCAGTCCTGTCCTACATTGTGAGATGCCATTTTCAAATCAGAGAGAGAGGGCTCCGAGGTTCTGGGTAGCAGCAGCTGGAGATTCCTCAAGTCCAGCTGCTGAAACTGGGGAAATTTTTCTTTAAGAAAAGGGACAAAGGTGAACACAAAACCTCAAGCTCCCAAAAAGAGGATATAAAACCTGCGGTGCCACATGTTTGTCCTCCTTAAAAAGTGAGCCTGACATCAGAGTTGCCTGTTGTAGATTGCGTCCAATCTCTTTTGTTTAAAGAGTGAGTAAAGTGAGAGCACAGCCCTGTTCAGTCAGATACCGGGGCAGCTCTAAGGTGCATAAAGCAGCAGAATATTTACTTCCTCAGTGTTGAAGCAATAAATCCCTACAGGAACAGGGACTGTACGTGTGAGCCATCCTGTATTCCCCACCACAAAACAAATATCACAGAAACATGGTCATCCAAACCCTTCCTGTTCCCGAGACACATGAGAGCACATTAAAATGAAGGTGAGGGAGAGAAAAAGAACTTTTTTTTTCCTTCTGATTTCACTTTGATTCTTCCAAACATTGAGCCTCATCAACAAACAGTTTCACTTTGGCTTGGACATAAAACCACAAGACAGGAAATCAGCCCTTCCTGCAGATTACATCCCAGCCAAACACCAAAGGTAAGGCAGCGTCCGCAGCCGCTCACGGATGAAAGTCAAAGCCCAGATGCTCGCTTTCACACCACTGCCACACAAATCTGGTCCAAGGGGCCATTCCCAGCCAAATCCCTGGGTAAATAAGCCCACGTTTCACAGCACAGAGGTTAATCCCATAGAGGAGAAACCCTGTGACAGTGGACAAAGTCCTCAGGAACCTCACAGGGAATCCCAGGCTTTGGCCACTAAAAACCAGAGCCAAAGGATGGGTTTTGCCCTGTAGGCTCAGTTTTAAGAGCCAACACTACAGCAGGTTAAAAACAGACCCTGAGGTCTGCCAGACTGCTGTAGAACAGGGTCAGGGCAGATCACTTGCCGGATTATTGTGAATACCTCTACAACTCGGGAGTCTGCAACTGTTTTGGCACCCTCTGATGGAGGGCTGGACGGTGGGTGCTGAACCACACCCCCCAGAAAGCCTGGAGAGGTGGGGGGTGACTGGGGTTTGAAGCACAGGGTGATGTGAGACCCCTCCTCGAATGGTCTGTCCCGGGGTGAAACGGGGGGTTCAAGCAAGTGATGGTAGGAAGGGTGACCAGGGCCAGCAGGCAGAGCTGGGGTGGACCTGGCTGGGTCTCACCGTCCCTGTGTGACCCTAGGGGGGTGAAGAGGGGGAGTGGGGGCTG